CCCCCCCCCCCCCCCCTTCCTCCTGCTTTGAGAGCTGTGTCTGGGCCTTCTTGACCTTTGTATTTTCGGTAGGTGGTTCCGGCATGGGTAGGCTCTCAATCCCAGCCGCCTGTTGGGCAGTGAGCAGAGCACTTCGCGCAGCTTCTGAGTCCTTTCTGTGTCCTAAATTGACGTAATTCGCCGCACCGAATCTCTCCCTCAAACGCTCTAGTTCTTTCTGCGCTTTGTCAAGGGTTGTTTTCACCCTTTCCCCACCATTCCTTTTCTTCCGGTCGGAACGTTCCTGCTCTTTGGCTTCTTGTTCGGTCNCGCTTTGTCAAGGGTTGTTTTCACCCTTGCCCCACCACTCCTTTTCTTCCGGTCGGAACGTTCCTGCTCTTTGGCTTCTTGTTCGGTCTTAACGCCTTCGAGGTTTGTTTTCTCCTTTCTACCTCTCGCTCATAATGAGCTTTCTTCCACTCTGCCTCCTTCACTTTCTTCGTGGCCTCTTCCTCCTTTTGCGCAAGCTTTGTGATATGTGTGGTCAACCTCTTGATTTCCGAGTCCTTCTGTACCTTTTCCCATTTCTTCTCAAGGTCAGACACAGTGCCCTTCTGTTCTTCGAACTCGCGCTTTACCCCGTCAAGCTCAAGTTCAAGTTTACTGTTCTCAAAAGCCTTTCGCTGCTCCTCGTGGTGTTTCTCAGCCAAAGCCACCATTTGGAGAGGGATAGAGATTTGATGGGAGGGTGGGTCCAACCTCTTCTTCTTTGACCCTGCTTTCTGTCCCACCACCTGCCATGGGTTGGTTACGCGTTGCATGGATGGTAACGGAGGAGACTGGTCATCCTTACTGTCTTCGACCAACGACTCGAAGCGATTTCCCGCCAACACTGATTGACCCGACACCGTCTCAGAGTTACTGAAAACAAGCTGGCTATATTCGTCTCCCTCACAGTTGGATTCAAGTTCAGGTTTTGGGGGTGGCACATAGGTGTCTGCTGCTTCAAACGTGCTTTCCATCTCCCTTGCCAGTTTCGCACTAGCCACTTGTTGCTTTTGTTGCCTCAACACCCTTGCCTTCTCCTCCCCACTCAGACGGATTAC